TCTTGCAGCTGGAAATTCCCCCAGCTCAGCTCATGTAACAATTTCAAAGGCTTCCTCTAGAGGGAAACAATTTCTATTTATATCAATCCTTTTAAGCACAGTTCAAACAATAAAGTTAGTTTCAATTTTCAATTACTTGTACTCCTTTTTAAACGCAGAAGGAGACAATGGAAACAATGTATTTCTCTTTTTAAACTTACTGTCAACAAACGATCTATTCACAGTCAATGAGCATATCCAAAACTTCAGTCTTACTAGCAGCCCATTTCCAGGTTCAGGGCGGTGGTAATTTGACTTTCTTCACTCTCTCCTGCAGGCTTACGCGATCTAAAATTCCCCCCCTCTTCTCCTGCTTCCAAGGGGGGGTTTGATGATTTAGCCGATGGAAGTTTAATCCTTTATGAAAGGCTTTCCAAGACTTTAGCTTGCAGCCTCTTTGCTTCAGTCTATTTACAAAAAGGAAAGGCGGACTTCCTGTTTGAAACCTCCCCGTTTCGGTGCCAAATTAAGACGTTTAAAAAATCCAATTTTCCGTTCTACTCATGGGTAGTTGTTTTAAGATCAAATTGTCCACAGGAAAAAGTCAGCGCTCTCTGGCAACAGCAATGCGGCTTCACTCCGTGAAAGAAGCAGTCAATTTGAAGCACCGTGCCACTCACCCCACGTCGCTCTGGATCCCCGAAACCGGGTTTCCCCGTGAGTAGGGGAGGCGCAAAAGGTGCCAGCCGAATCCCACGTTCACAGGCTTCTCCTGCCTGTGATTTTTGGTGGGTCCCTGCCTTCGCCGTGGCGGCCAGACCCTAATTTCCACGAAGCAAATTCCTCCCGATCGGAGGAGTTCAGACATTACCAGAGGCGCTAACCCGGAAGTCCTCGTCTTTATTACTGCTTCACAGGTTCCAGGGATGAACCTTAAGCTCTGCTTTTTATTTGCAGCATAAAGGAATCTTTCAGCCAGATCCTCCTCCTGTAATCCTTTTCCCTATCATGGCCTTCTTCCATCTGAAATATTTAATGTTCCTATCCAGTGCCACCTGTGGTAATTCTCAAAAAGATCCCCCCATCTTTTTGTCATATGCAGCATTTCATGTGATCAATTAATATCCAGTTAAGTCTTACTCATAATAGATCCATTGAAATTAATGGACTCAAGTTCGTTGTGCCCATCAGTTTCAGTCAGTCTGAGTAAGACTAAGATTGGACATAAATGCATTCCTTCCTCTCACATTGAATAGGCTATTGTTTGAATTTTTGGATGGGGAGTTTAGGGTTTCTTAGGCAACAACAAATGTGCACACAGACTTCTTTGATAGCCACTCCAAATCTGACTGAGCTGTGTAAAACAGAAAAAGGAGAAAGGAAGAAATAAGTTCAAGAGAGCATTAAGATGTTTCAGTGTGTATCTGAGTGTTGTGTCAAAGGGGAAGAGAACAGGAAACAAGATTCAGTGATGGAGATTTGATGTGTCACACTGCTACCAATGGAAAATGTTAATGAGAAAGGAAAAGGGGTTATAGGCAAAGGTGGGTGCCAAAGTCAAAAAGTGGGAAGGGTGTTGTAAAACAGTTGTCCAAATGGCCAATTATATTGGTAAACAGGTGCATTAAGGTTAATATTTGCTTGTATGGGTTGCTAACATCAGCACTTTTAAAAAGAAGCCAAAGTGGAATGCTCATCAGGACAGGACAAACAATTCCCTGTGAATTACATAAGCTACATATAGAGCTCACTAGAGCAAGTAATGAAAAAGTCAGATGAAGCAGACATAGCCCAAGACATTTTAAGGTCCCTGTAAACTACTAGTCTCCATGCCCTCTGTGTGATATTACTGATACTGTTCATAAAGGTAAAGGCAAACCCTCACTGTGATCAGCTCCCGCCCAGAAACTTATGTCCCCATGATGGAAGGACATGTGGATCCAGAATTGGCTTCCACGGTCACTTACAGACTCACTGTTAAGACTGTTCATGGAAGACAATCTTACTTGGCCACAAGTGATAACCAAAGAAGAAAATAAGAAGACTGTTCATGTACTTACCCCAGTGCCATTCTCTGTCCTACCCCCCCTCCGGTCCTCATTTGTATCTCCCCTTTCCCAGGGTGAACGAGGCCCAATGGGCCCATCTGGCCATGATGGAATCCCAGGCCCATTGGGTCTGCCGGGCCCAACTGGACCACCAGGACTTGCTGGAGAAGATGGTGATAAGGTAGGCAGCCTGCACTCCACCTGAATTTGGAGGAAGAGGGGAAACTTGCACAGGGTTCATACAGCTACAAGGACCAGTTTTTGTTTCCCAGACAACAGATTCTTGGCTATCCCTAGCAATGATTTCCACAGCCTTGGTTTCTCCAGCCAAGACTTGACTCAGTGGGCATGTGTTTTGCTTGACAATGGTTTCTGCAGCAATGGTTCCCATGGTGATGCTTTATGTTCTCATGCTGCTCTGCTTCTTTCTGCAGGGAGAGATGGGTGGCCCAGGACAAAAGGGAAGCAAGGGTGACAAAGGAGAAGCGGTGAGTTTGAGGCAGGTGGCTGGCAGACTTCAGGGTATTATCCCTTAAACTGTGTGGCCATGATTGCTTATAGATTCTTTATTAGTTGGACCAAGGAGATCTTTTGAAAGAAACTAGAAGAGAGAGAATGAATAATTAGGGAGAGCACTGCTGTTTCATGTTCTTTCTCTTCTTATAGGGTCCCCCAGGACCTACTGGGATCCAGGGTCCTATTGGACATCCAGGCCCTGCAGTAAGTATTGACTCCATGCCAAAATCTGTACTGGCCTGTATACTCCCAAAGCTTTCATAGCTTTCATAGCTTCTCCTCTGGGCGCAGCTCAACTACCCTCCCATATCACCATTTTCTTTCATCTGTCACAGAGTTTTTAAAATTATTTTTAACAAAATGAAAATACTTCTTACTCAACAGAGTACCTCTAAGCAGCTCTGATTGATGTTAGTGGACATCACCATATGCTTCAAGACTAGAGGCTTGGCTGAGTGCGATGCCTCCCACTTCTGTAATCCCAACTTTTTGGCTCTGCTAACGAGAGATGGAGGGTGTTTCTGTTTCAGTGGGAATCCTGACATGGTGTCTTGCTAACAGGGAGCGGATGGAGAGCCCGGGCGCCGCGGGCAGCAGGGCATGTTTGGCCAGAAAGGAGATGAAGGAGCCCGTGGATTCCCAGGTGTTAGTGGCCCATCTGGTTTACAAGTGAGTGCCGGAGCCAGGGCTTAGACAGCATGAAACTATTTCATTGGGGGTACCTTGGAATAACTGGGCCTCTTCTTAAGCGAGCTCCTGCAGTGAGAATGAAAGTCAGTGATTTCCCCAGCTTTGCTCAGTAGGTTTCTTTCTCTTTTTTTGTAAATAATTTTTATTAATTTTTGATTATTAAAATCCAATATAAACCACATTTTTATCAATCTCAAATTACAATTCAGATTCAAATATATAACAATTATAAAGCCAATTATACATTATGTATGACTTCCCGTGTGCTAGATTTCAAGGTGAGATGATTTTATTTCATCCTGCTTCCAAAGTCTTAATTAATCCAATTACATTCTTAATCTTGATCCCAATTACATTCTTGATCTTAATAGCTTATCAGCAGCTACAGAGTTTTTGACTTCCATTCGTATTGGCACATTTAATAAATTGTATTTCTGCAAGAGGAGTTCTGTATCCCATATTGTTCAGTAGGTTTCAAGGCTATCTAGAAATGGTTTGTAGGGAACTTGGGACTGTGACTAAAGCTAAGGCAAACTTCTGTATGAAATTTTAAATTCAGTGAATTCCATGAAATTCAAAATATTTTGTTTTTCTAAACGTTGAGGGTTAAATAAATGGTTTCACAACTGTGGATTGCTGAAAAAATTATATTTGCAATAGTAAAAATTCAAAATTTCTTATTTGAATTTCTGTATTTAAAAAAAGTATTTCAGTCAGTTGAATCTTACCACAAGGGCCTTAACTATTCACAGGCACACACATCTCTCCACCAAATTTGAAATTTCTCCCCAGATTGAAAAACCCTGATATAATTTCTGAAATTTAAAACTAAGCATTCACATTTGAATTCTGAGTACTTAGATTATGGCTTTTGAACTCTCATATGTGCCTGCGAGCCAGACTAGTGGAATATCAGCAGAATGGTGGAAATGCTTTACACTTGCTTACTTTGTTGGGGGGGTGCTTTCTTCACAGGGGATGCCAGGGCCCCCAGGGGAGAAGGGCGAGAGTGGCGATGTTGGCCCAATGGTAAGAGTCATTTGCTTCACCTAAACCTGCACGCGAGTCATCTGCCTGTGCCTCATTGTGAATCTCATCCTCTCTCTCTCTCTCCTCTCTTTAGGGCCCACCAGGAGCTCCAGGGCCCCGAGGCCCCCAGGGTCCCAGTGGGGGCGATGTGAGTAACATTTTTTTCATCTATATAAAGCAAGATGGGGCAGAATTTATTTATTATGACACCACTCTTTAGCCTATAAGACTCCTACAACCGCTTGCATAAGAGTAGTTAAAAATAAAACAGTCCTAGCCCCCCAGGCTTGCAATCTAAAAGACTCAACATAAAAGGAAAGGGGGATGAGGAGAGCAGAGGAAAATAAGGAAACTCAGGCATGCATTCTTAAAGTTACACTGTAGTTCTTAATGACCAGCTGGAATGGAAAAGGGCCTCTTCATCAATCGAAACACCCTGGATAGACACTTCCTGGACTCGTTCCTCCCCTGGGGAATGGTGGGAGCACCAGCATATGGACCAGAATTTGCTGGATGGATGGAACTCTGTTGTTTCTGATTTTCTGTAGAGGCTGAGCTCAGGGGCTGAGGAGAAGGATGTGAGGATTTCTGATACCACTGTGGTTGGAATACTATGAATTGATTGTATGATTTAAAAACAAAAAACCAAAAACCCCATAGATTGCATAAAATGGCAGGACAGATAATAAAGCAAAACATAGCGTGTATCCACCTCAATCTACCCCTGTTGTGTCACATGCCAGAGATGTGGATAGCTCAGTTGGGAGAGCACAAGTCTCTGAATCTCAGGGTTGTGGGATTGAGCCCTACGTTGGGCAAAAGTTTCCTACATTGCAAGGGGCTGGACTAGATGACTTTCAGGGCCCCTTCCCACTCTACAGTTCTATGATCCTATGCTCTGAGTGCATTGATTCCTTGTGGTGAGGTCACATGTTCTGCTTACATGATAGTTATGATGTACTTATCACAGCATGAGTAATCCTCTACATGGTAATGATGTGTGGTAATTGGTAATTAAATGAAGTTATAATGACAACTTCAAACCATTATCAAGTGGTGGGTGGCTACCATGGTATTTACTGATTGGGTTTTTATGCCATCATTCTAATAGCTCTAGCTGCAATATAAACAGAGCCATAAAACATGGGTTCTTGAAGGTACTCTGGATCTAAAGGTAGAAAACAAATAATTTAATCAGATTAGTGAACTTTGCCAATAAACCCAGCATATAACTAAAATGATAGCCAAGGTAATAGTTATAATTATTAATTAATAGTAATAATTAATGATTTAAAAAATCAGCCTTCCCCTTTATCAGTAGCACTGCTAAGCAAATTTAATACATAAAAATAAAAATCCACTGCACCACCAAGAATGTATTTTCACATGCCTATGCTGTACTTATTTGATGGACAGATGATACCACCAGAGGAGTACACCCAGTAGGTCTCATTAGCTGCAACTGTTGAGGATAAATAGGATAAAATAGCATGTAAAGTAAACTCACGAGGACCTCCAAGAGCATTTAGGCAAGTGCCCAGATTCAGAAGTGTCTGCAAAGAAGGAAATGATTCCAACTTCTATACCACAACCTGTATGCATAGGGAGGAGTATCAGGGTTAGGAAATATTTTGCATATATTGATCATCACATTGAAACAGGGCTAAAGATAATAAGTGTTGGTTATTTTCTCTGAGTCTGAGGGGGAAGTTAACAGTTAAGTTGCAGGATGGAAGGTATTTGGTTAAATATTAGTGGGTGGGGAAAGTCCTGAACTGTTCAAACAGGTTATAAGATTTGACAAGGGAGGCCACTGTGGTTGTCTAAGGTGTGCTTTTGTCTTAATGTGTCTCTTTTCATTCCAGGGCCCACAGGGGCAACCTGGTGGGCTGGGACAGCCAGGTGCTGTTGGTGAAAAGGTGAGTCCAAGCCAAGATATTAGGGGAAGGGGGCTGCTCTCTGCACTTTGTGGTGAGTTCAGGGACTGGAAGCAGGATGCAGAGCATTGGCAGAGCCATGGGATTTTTCTCTAGGGTGCTTGCATAGTGGGGGTAGAAGCAACAAAAAAGGCATCCTTCAATGTGTAAGGGAAGGAGATGACTGGACTCTTCACCAGCAGCACATGCAGATATGCTGTTCTCTCCAGCAGCAGAGTATTTTGCCAGGTGCAGGGAACTGTGGGTTAAATAGGACAGAGAAAATGCAGTAAGTTTTAGGAAGGCACAAAATGGGAGCTGTTTGAAAGCTGGAGGTGTTAAAGGGGCTATAAGTGTTGTTTATGTGTGTGCATTAGATGCTGGCATGTGGAGAGAAAACCATAGAGCAAATTGGGGGTCATGAGGTGCATAATTAAACTGGGAGATAGGGAAAACTTTCTCAGAAGAGCCATGCTCAGTTTACAAAGTGAGAGGCGCTCGGGCTGAAACTTGCCTCAGGATATAGTCCTCCTGATCCCAGATATAGTCCTCCAGATCCCAATTCTTGAATGTTTGTTTGGAGACAGAAGGCTGTGTTTGCAGAGTCACACAAGAAGCTCCCTTTGCATGAATGCAAGTGCAATCTCCTTCCAAATCATGCATCTGAATCAGATCAGAGAAATCACATCTCCTTCCATGTCATTCTGGCTAGAAATGGGAACTGAGCCATTTCCTGCTTGACCCGCACTTTCTGGGCATGGGTCTGAGTGGTTTCCCCCCCTTGCCCTGCTGCTTTCCAAAGAAAAACCTGCTCTTTAGCGAAATATCAGAACTAATGGCAATCTGGGAAAAATCCCAATTGCTGCTTGCTCCAATTGAGTGCTCAGGAGCAGCTTTAGCTGGACAACATAAGCCCTGGATGAGTCCTGAGAGATGCGTCCTTCTCTTAGCAGAGACCAGCTCATAGAATAGTGACTATATTACTTTACAACCCTATCAGATAGGAAAAGGAGCATCCAGAAAAGGTGTCAATAGGTCCTTGGGTCTTTTCATTTTTTAAAATTGTGTTGATGGAGGGATTTTAATATGTCAGTGCACATTTTCTGAAAAGCCGTTCCAGGTTGGAACCGGAGAGCAGCATGACTGGACTGAGATTTCCATTTCTTTCTCCTCTTCTAGGGTGAAGCAGGGGAAGCAGGAGACCCTGGACCTCCAGGGGAGCCAGGCCGGCAAGTGAGTTTGGGAGAGAAACGAGGGGGGGGGGAATGCAATACCCCTCCCCGGAGCTCTCCTGGAGTATGTCTGCTCCAACCCAGCTTCTGTTAAGGCTGGATAAATCACTGTGGCTGAGTCACTTAGCAGAGATGTGACTCTCTTTACTAAGATTAAAAGAGCAGCATGAGAAGCTGCTTTTGCAAAGTCTGTTCCCATCCTAAATCCCATCCCCATCTGACTGGCGTCTCTCTGTGTGAATTTGCAGGGGGTGAAGGGTGATGTTGGTGAAAAAGGAGATTCTGGCCAATCCGGAGCTGCAGGGCCCCCTGGAAAGAAGGGCCCCCCAGGAGAGGATGGAGCCAAGGGGAACCTGGTGAGTCGTTGACTTCGGAACTGAAAAATGGCAAGGGCTACTTTCTTCAGTGATGTGTCAGTTTAGCTCCCAAAGAGCTGCAAAGAAACTCCCTGGCCCTGCTGATCACCCAGTCCTATGATCATAACAGATTCCAATGAAACTGGCACCACAGAGGCCCATTGAGCAGAGTTATAGCTTCAAAGAGACACTCAGAGAAGAGCCATGGAACAATACTAGAAGAGACAAAAGAACTGTTTGTTCTTACCTCTGGCACAAGGCAGAACAATCCAAGGCAGGAATGTATGTTTACCCATCACCCAGTGAACTGTGCAATCAGTGACGGACCTGCATTTCTGGGGCCCTGAAACTTGAACTGTTATGGGGGCCCCTTTGAAACCAGCAATGAGGTCTGGGTAACCACTGTTAGGTTGTTCAACAACAGATCACCACAGGGGTTTTTTGGATTATTTTTTTTAATTCATGACTACACTTCTGATTTTGATTAAAATTGCTGTACTGGATTATCTTACATGTCAAAGTCACTGATGTGGATAAAAGATTCCTATGCATTATAAATTTCGAGTTATGGAGGGGATGAAAATTGGGGAAATGTTATGTATTTTATTTTTATTTACCTACCAAATTTATATACCACCTTCATCACAAGATCTCAGGGTGGTTCACAGAATAATATACATGCATGATACACTTTTAAAGCAATGTGGACTATAGTTGTTTCCATTAGTTTCATAGTAGATTCACCCCTGTGTGCCGTCCGGACTTCTCTAGGTTTCCTCTCTAGAGAACTGGTGCTTTTTGTAGCCTGGTATTCACCACTCCTATCCCTCCATTGCAGGGTCCAATAGGATTCCCAGGTGACCCAGGCCCATCCGGAGACCCTGGTCCTCCAGTGAGTATCTGAATTTGAAAGGAGCCACTGCATGTTTGGTATCTGGCTTTGGATGATGGATCCCAGTTTATTGGGAGAATGAGAAAAGTCTTGAAGACATTACTTCTCAGTTTCCAGCACTGGATGAAAACTTAAATATCAAAATGATTGGGGGGGGGCGTTTGGGGAGATCTGAGCATGCTTGGTGACCACAAAATGCTGGCTGGTTGGAACCAAAATGGAAAACTGAGGGATGAGGGAATGGTTCTGGAACCCTGAACTAGAGCACTCAATGCTGCAACATTTTGTTGCAGTTCTCTGTAGTTAAAGCAACTTGTTCCCAGGTGAGAATCGATAGGTTCTGATTCGCTTCTGTCTTCTTCTGCTCAGGGTCTGGATGGAGTTTCTGGTGAGAAAGGTGATATAGGGGATCCTGGACTTCCAGTGAGTATGGCAGATATATTACCCTACATTGGTTATGTTGTTGTTTGGCTTCTTAAAAAATCCCTATGGTCAGTAGCCAAACAGCACCTGTCTGTAGTTTGTGACATACATTGAGTATTGCATCACTGCATAGTTAAACTGGTTTGCTTCATAGTTACTCTACCCAAAGAAACACAATGAGTTGACATTCATCAAAGAGTTTAAACATCTGTGATGTAGGAAGCTTTCACTCTGCATTTTTTCTCACTTTATACTAGGTGTGGGGATACTTTGGCCTTCCATGTGTGGATGAACTACAATACCCATCATCCCTTGGCTATGCTTGCTAGAGATGATGGGAACTGTAGTTCAGCAACATCTGGAGGTCCAAAGTTTTCCCACACCTGCTTGATACTGTTACCTAGGGCTGGTGCAAATATAAGGCAAATAATATCATTTCATGTGGTAACTGACTGTCATTCTTTTTAATTTTTTAATTATTACATTTATGTACCACCTTTATTGTCCAAGGATCTCACGGTGGTGTATATGGTTCTCCTCCTCCTCATTTCATCTTCACGACAGCCCTGTGAGGTAGATTAAGCCAGGGGTTGACAATCTGGTCGCTACCACCCACTAGTGGGCGTTTCAGGATTCTAGGTGGGCAGTAGGGGGTTCTACTGAACAAGCTGAATCCTCCTTCCATTGAGCACTGGTGGGCGGTAAGGAAATTTTACCATCAAGAAGGATGTGTTAGTGGGCAGTAGGGATAAAAACATTGACTACCCCTGGATTAAGCTAAGAGATGGTGACTGACCCAAGGTCACCCTGTGAGCTTCATGGCTGAGGGGGAATTTGAACCCTGCTCTTCCAAGTCCGAGTTCAACATTCTGGTACCCTTACACACAGTGGCACTCCCATAGACACTGGCAATGGGACTTGCTGGAGAGTAAGTCTCATTGAGCTCAATAGAGTTTACTTCTGACTTGACATGTAGAGGATTGTGCTGATTTTACAAGA